TAATTCACAGCCAAGGAACATCAGGCAGTGGAAGCAAATGTTTTAATTGGTTCATGCAGCAATCTGAAATAACAGTACAAGTGACAATATAGTGAATTCTATTATTCAAAAATCATTTATTATTACATGTAGTTATGATTCTAAAAGCCCTTGCTCTAAATTACATAGAGCCTATAATATTTTCTATGCACAAACTTGGCAAACAGTAACTATAGCTACAAAAATAGCCATCTGTACACTTCGGTGACAAAAATATTTAATAGAAAGAATGCTCCTTAAATCAGTCACAATTGCATCCTTGAATGGCAACACTGACAATAGCATCATTATCAGTTAAGAAGGGCAAACTGTCTATAATTACAATTAACTACAAAGTTTATAATTTTTTTTTTTTTTTTTTGAGACAGACTCTCACTCTGTTGCCCTGGCTAGAGTGCCGTGGCATCAGCCTAGCCCACAGCAACCTCAAACTCCTGGGCTTAAGCAATCCTTCTGCCTCAGCCTCCCAAGTACCTGGGACTACAGGCATGCGCCACCATGCCCGGCTAATGTTTTCTCTATGTATTTTTAGTTGTCCAGATAACTTCTTTCTATTTTTTTTAGTAGAGATGGGATCTTGCTCTTGCTCAGGCTGGTCTCAAATTCCTGAGCTCAAACGATCCGCCAGCCTTGGCCTCCCAGAGTGCTAGGATTACAGGTGTGAGCCACCACGCCCGACCAAGTTCATAATTTTTGAAGAATAATAAGATATTAACTTCCAAATTGAGGTTGTAATGGAGAATTAAGTGTAAATATCCTTTTATTATAATAGCTAACATTTATATACCAAATCCTAAGTGCTTTCACATTAGTAATTTTATTTTATCTTTCCAATAACTTTATGTTAGCTTGAGAAAGTATTGATATTGTCTATATCTTACAGATCAGAAAACTAAGGATTAGAGAAGTTTAGTAAGTTTTGAAGGCTATATGTTAGATAACGTGGCAGAGCTGAACCTTAAGCCTGAAGTTAAATCTCATATGCTTTCCTTTTCTACTAAACTGTTTACCAGATGTTGGGATGTTAAACCTTTCATTTTTTTTTTTCCATTTTGGGTCCAACACACATTTTCTTAACTGTGCATGAGAATCACCTGCTGCCTTGATTAGAATGTAGATTCCTAGGTCCCCACTCCAGAGAAATCTGGGGGATGGTAGTTTTGTGGGGTGCTGCATAAGCAGCATTCCATGTAATTCAATTAAGATGGTCTGATATGTGGAATTAAACTGAAACCGCCCAGAGAAGAACAAACATGCTATTTATTCAGAGCATGCTATAGCAAGGGAGTCAGTCTCCATCACTTGCCTTTGGCAGAGACTCAAAGACAGGCAGGGGAATGGGAAAGGTTTATGGAAGTGAAAAAAAGAAAAGCCCAGGTATGCCCTGACTGCAGGTTGTTGGCATGGGAAAGCTAGAGGTGGGCTACTAGAAGTGGAGGGTATTTTATGTGATTGTTTTGGGGAACATATTTGGCTGTCTCAGGTTGGTGCTGAGATGGAAATAGAGGTAAAAGTAGGGAAGGTAGAAATGGTCGACCACTTCCTCTTCTTGTCCAGTTGCTGCAACGGTTGTGGTTTGGCTTCTTATGTGGTTCAGAGTTATGTTGTCATGTAATGTCTGGCCATTGTCCATCTGTATATTTTGTTTCTCAGAGAAACTGTACTCTGAGAAACTGGCCATTGTCCATCTGTATATTCTGTTTCTTAGACCATACTCTGAGAAACACATTGGGGCTCTGGTGTTTTCGACCTGACCACCTTCCTCCCTTAAGGTGGCTAGACTGTAAGGTCCATGAAAAGTATGGACCATCTTTCAAAACTCTATTACTAGTGCCTAGCGCTATCAGGCTCTCATAAGGCACTTAATAAAATCTTGCTAACAAATCTGTGCTCGCTTCAGCAGCACATATACTAAAAGAGAAGATTAGCAATTTTAATTTTTTATCTAAAAAAAGAAATGAATGATATATGAAAATATTTGATATTGGCTTTTGTTGGAACAAGAAAATGAACTTTCTGGTATAGCATATGAACATTTTTATGTGAATGGATTGTCATCAAAAAGGCTGGAGGCTGCTCCTTGCCGCTCCTGCGCTCTAAATTAAGTAACCCGAATCCTAGCCCTGGCTGACCCCAGTTTTCCTCAAAGCTGGTTAACCCGTGATGTGCCAGTCAGCCCCAAAGGCTCCTTCCTGAGTGTTCTGCTGGGGGTGGCATGGCGTTTGTGGGAAAGGGAGGCTACTTCTGGCATTTTGAAGGCAACTCCAGTCCCAGAACTTTAGTTTTGCCACATGCTCTCAACACTTTTCTATCTCCCCTCACCGTTAGGGCCTGGGGTGGTGAGAGCTACTGAGGCAGAGGAAAAAGTGCATACACAGCCATATATGGTCTTAATTTGGGACTCAAGAGTTTACCTAAGAGAAGACGCTTGAGAGTGTGTGTGAGAGAGGGAGAGAGAGAACCAAGGAAAGGGGGGAAAGCCAGCGGAGCGGGCGGTCTCTGCAGGGAAGCCGTCCCACCTGCTGCGGGGGGAACCGCCGGGGAGGGGCCGCAGCCGCGCGCCCGCCCTCCCTGCCCCGCTCGCAGCGCGGCCGGGCGATGGGGGAGTTCCCGCGAGTGGCCCGGCGCCCAGGCTGTACGGGGGGCTGTTCGGGTGGAGGTGGGGGAGCAGCCGGGACACCAAAATAGGAGCCGCTTGTGGGCTGGAGCTGCACTAGCAGGCAGCCTCCGCCGCGCCTCTTCCAAAGATGGTCAGAGGGTCCGGCGGCGCCCCCGCTCCCGCTCGCTGCTAGCCCGCGGGCCAGCACCGCGTCCCGGAGCTTCAGCCGGAGGTAGGTGCTGTGCGGACCCGCCGTCCGAGGCCAGCCGGCGGGGAGCGAGCGGGGCCAGGCGCGGGAGGGCGAGGCCGCGCCGCCTCTGGAGCCCGCTCGCGGCAGAAGAGCACAGACAATGGCCGCGCGGGCGCCGGGCCGGGCCAAACGCGGCGCGCGGGGCCGCCTGTGGTGCTCTCCCCACACCTGCGCTGGTGCCCGGCGAGGGCTGTGGGCACCGGGCCCGACGGGCGGCACGCGGCACCCTCGAATCGAGCCCGCGCCAGGCCCCGGGGCGGGGCAGTCTCCGGGCGGGAACGTGGGATAGGGGCCCTGGCGCGGGTCGCGCGGAAACCTCTGCAGCGGGCGTGGGGGAGGAGGCGCGGCTGGAGGGGCTGCGCCAGGCCGGTCCGCTTTGCTTTATCTCCTCGCTTAACCTAAAAGGCACGAGATTACCCTTTTCCGAGATTTCTTCTTGCCCACTTATATTTCAGTCATCCTTTCTTGGCATTTCGATGTGATTTGAAAGGGAGACGGAGCTAGGGGAAAAGGTTGAATTGGGGCCGGGCTGAGCTGAGGCGGCCAAGGGCCGGCCTCGTGTGGGGTGACCCCTGGGACACTTGGCTTCTCTGGTGTGGGATCTCCTCTTAGATCGCCAGGCCAGGGCAGACTGCGGAGACTGGGTGAATGGGTTAGCAAATCAGTATTCTCAAAAGGACTACTGCGAAATCTGGGGGCCTCATTTCAGGCTCCGAGCTACCCTGAATTTCAATTGACCACCATATAAATTATGAAACAGTCCATCCACATTTTTCATTTGTTACTTAGAATGCTGAACTTAGCCTAGCTTTGGGGTGCATCCGATGCTAGTCAATCATTAGAATGATTGGAATATTTAGCATTGATTATGTGCAAAATTGAAACATGTTTATTATTTCATGTTTATTGCAGCCATGGCTCTAAAAGGACAAGAAGATTATATTTATATTTTCAAGGATTCGACACATCCAGTGGATTTTCTGGATGCATTCAGAACATTTTACTTGGATGGATTATTTACTGATATTACCCTTCAGTGTCCTTCAGGCATAATCTTCCATTGTCACCGAGCTGTTTTAGCTGCTTGCAGCAATTATTTTAAGGCAATGTTCACAGCTGACATGAAAGAAAAATTTAAAGATAAAATAAAACTCTCTGGCATCCACCATGATATTCTGGAAGGCCTTGTAAATTATGCATACACCTCCCAAATTGAAATAACTAAAAGAAATGTTCAAAGCCTGCTTGAGGCAGCAGATCTGCTACAGTTCCTTTCAGTAAAGAAGGCTTGTGAGCAGTTTTTGGTAAGACACTTGGATATTGATAATTGTATTGGAATGCACTCCTTTGCAGAATTTCATGTGTGTCCAGAATTAGAGAAGGAATCTCGAAGAATTTTGTGTTCAAGGTTTAAGGAAGTATGGCAACAAGAAGAATTTCTGGAAATCAGCCTGGAAAAGTTTCTCTTTATCTTGTCCAGAAAGAATCTCAGTGTTTGGAAAGAAGAAGCTATCATAGAGCCAGTTATTAAGTGGACTGCTCATGATATAGAAAATCGAATTGAATGCCTATATAATCTACTAAGCTATATCAACATAGATATAGATCCAGTGTATTTAAAAACAGCTTTAGGCCTTCAAAGAAGCTGCCTACTAACTGAAAATAAGATACGCTCTCTAATATACAATGCCTTGAATCCCATGCATAAAGAGATTTCCCAGAGGTCCACAGCTACAATGTATATCATTGGAGGGTATTACTGGCATCCTTTATCAGAGGTTCACATATGGGATCCTTTGACAAATGTTTGGATTCAGGGTGCAGAAATACCAGATTATACCAGGGAGAGCTACGGTGTTACATGTTTAGGACCCAACATCTATGTAACTGGGGGCTACAGGACAGATAACATAGAAGCTCTTGACACAGTGTGGATCTATAACAGTGAAAGTGATGAATGGACAGAAGGTTTGCCAATGCTCAGTGCCAGGTATTACCACTGTGCAGTCACATTGGGTGGCTGTGTCTATGCTTTAGGTGGTTACAGAAAAGGGGCTCCAGCAGAAGAGGCTGAATTCTATGATCCATTAAAAGAGAAATGGATTCCTATTGCAAACATGATTAAAGGTAAGTGCAGACTGTGTTTATTCTGTATGTTTTAGGTGTCTAGGGTTAGGCCAGCAGTCTCATATCTCTTGAATTTATCACTTTGGGATACTATCTAGCAACTATAGTGGATTACACAACCAATATTGCACAGAATGTTCCAAGTAAAAACATAGCATAGCATAGTCTTCAACTTGTCTCAGAGTTATGTGATTAGAGTATGCTACTCTAATAGAAAAGAAATATTTATATAAGGAAACAGTATATCATTCTACTTTACAGCCTAACTCTAGATCTTATTCTAGATCTTGCTTCAAGTCATAAGAATTTATACTTAAGTCAAAGGATAAATGAAGAGATAAATCTGGATAGTTTTAGTAGTTCATGTTTTAATTTTTTTCTTGCTTTTAAAATTGAACCCTTTTCATTTCTGCTTTTAACTATTCAAATTTTTTCCTCTCACAATACACTGATCATCTTTCAAGAGGTCCTTCATTAAAACCTTGGAAGGTTTGTTCCCTACATAATGTAAAAAAGTACATTCTCTCAAGAACTAGAAACAAATAACCTCTGCATTTTGTAATTCAGTCTTGTCTCATAACTTAAAGCACATGGGCAGACACCATACCCTCCCTCATGTGGCCCACAGAGCCAGGCACACTACTGGATGTCAGTTATCTGTCTGATAAACACTGTATTTTCTTCTGTATTTGGTGATATATTAGCCTTGCTCTCCTCTCCCACTGGAAAAAAAGTTAAACTGGAATCTTATTTTGTTATATTTATTCTTTGGTGCTGGAGAGTTGTACAAAAGCAGCTGGTAGGTTGTTACCAAATTTTGTCCCAAATGATTCTTCCCAGGCCTTTCTGTTTCTTTTTTAATGCTAGTGAGGGTGTGGGAATTTGACCTGGTCTGGAAATCTGACCTGGTATGATTCTTGGATGACAAGCAGGAAGCTGAGAGGCAGAATGGTCTTGTGATCAGGCACACTGCTTCTGGAGCTAAACTGCTTGGGTCCAAATCCACTTACTTGCTGGTAAGTTTGGATAAATTATTTAATCTCACTGTGCCCCAGTTTTGCCATCTGTACAATGAAGATGTTAATATTACCTAGCCTAAGGTCACTGAGAGGAGTGACATTATGCTTGTGAAGTGCTTAGAACATCTGACAGAATAAGCATTCAGTAAATGTTACACATAATTGTCATGAACATCATTATAGAAGAACATGTCAGCTTTGATGGGCAGAAATATCTTTCATACTAAATCATGACCACTCTCATACATGCCCACAGGTTCAGCTATAGCTAGTAGGGTGGGAGAAGGTAGCTTAAAGCCTGTTGCTATTGCTGCTTTGGTTTTTGGGTTTGCCAGAACTTGACCGCTGCTTACCCACTTCAGGATGGTTCCAAATGTCCCGACTTTTCTCCTGAAAAAGAAACAAGGAAAGTAATATTTTAGCTGCTATTCTAAACCTGGATACATTTCTGCTTCTGTTTCTTGATAATGAGATAACAGTGGTTATCAGTGGTTTTGAGAGTATATTTCTTTGAGGATGGAAATTTATTACTTTACTGAAATTTTACAAAATTACATTTGAAACAGTGCTTGCTGAAAAGAAAATGTATCTACTGTGAAAGAAAGCCATATGTGTTCTTGCCTTAGCTTTGAGTGGAATAGGAGACCCTCATGCCCCAAAGGTCTCCCCACCTCCCAGCTGGGTCTGAAATTCTAGTTTTATACTTGTAACTTGAATCTTTGATTCTTATTTATATCTAGTCATCCAAGGGAGGGGTAACACTTTTTGTCAGTTATATGCAGTTTTGACTAGTATTTGTTCTGATGGTTAGACTCATGCTGAACTTTTAGTTTCCCATTTTTCTGTAGAAAGGATAACATTTTTCTCAGTTTGTTTTGTTGTCATGAAGTGAACTAGCAGCTTTCCCTGGTAGTGAGAACTTAATTTGGATAGAGTCAAATTTCAAATTCATTTCCTTTTTTGGTCTAGGGATGTGATGTACAGGGAAGAAATAAATACTTGGCTGTGTAGGAACTACTAAATTTTTTTTTCATAAAAAACCCACTTTTATTTTGGAGTAGAAATGAACAAGAAGATTCATTTATGTGCATCCCACACATAACAGTGCTAAGTAAAAGTTGGTGGAAAGACAAAACCAACTTTTCAACTAAAATGAGTCTCATCATCTTTCTTCCTCTCTTTGTCTTCCCCTGCTGAACCCATTTCCTCCTCCTTACTTTCTGTGGCATCCGTGTTTCCTAGTTTTCCCAGCTCAGAACCACAGCATCAGTCTGGTTTGTCTCTGACTCTGTCATTCATCAAGGACTATCTGTTTTAGCTCTGTCTCTTGCCTCTGTGCTCTTCCCTCCATACCCCATCTAAATCAGGCCTTCGCTACTCCTCAACTGGGCCAGTACCTAGATCTTTCTAACTCCTTTCCTCCTCCCCTCCCTTTCTCTGTTTAAAAACCTTAAAAAAATCTCACTGAATTAAGTCCAGATTCTTAGTTGGGCATCAGTATCCTTTGCTATGTGGCTTCAACTTAAACCATGCCATCCTTAATTCCCACGCAACAATGTGCCACCTGCCCTGGTCAACCTGGGCTATTTGACATTGTCCAGTAAGCCTATGCACTGGCCTATCCCTCTGCCTAGAATGTCTTCCTTTCACTTCTACCTGCCAAAGTCCTACCTACCAAGGTTGGGGTCAAATTCTGCCAACCCCTCCTGTGATTTCCACAGTTAAAAGCATTGTCTCTCTGCTCTGACCAGTCACAGTCATTCCTTTTTCCTTTATTTATGGTACTTTTTCTATTCTAGACCTTGTGTTCTAATTACAGAAGTGGTTTGCTTAACAACATGGGGGGGTACATTTTCAGAAATGCGTCATTAGGCGATTTCATCATTGTGTGAACATCATGGAATATACTTACATAAACCTAGATGGTATAGCCTATTGCTCCTGGGCTACAAACCTGTACTGAATACTGTAGACAATTATAACACAATGGTAAATATTCATATATCTAAACATAGAAAAGGTACAGTAAAAATATGGTATAAAAGATAAAAAAATGGTACAACTGTATAGTACACTAACCATGAATGGCACTTGTAAGGCTGGAAGTTGCTCTGGGTGAGTCAGTTAGTGGTGAGTGAATGTGAAGGCCTAGGACATTACTGTATATTGCTATAGACTTTTTACCAAAAAAAATTCTTTCTTCAATAATAAATTAACCTTAGCTTACTATAACTTTTTACTTTATAAACTTTTACGTTTTTTAAAAAACTTTTTAACTCTTTTAACACTTAGCTTAAAACACAAACACATTGTACAAGCATATACAAATATTTTCTTTATATCCTTATTCTATAAGCTTTTTTCTATTTAAAAAAAATATTTTTTTACTTTTTAAACTCTTTGTTAAAACTAACACCATTAGCCTAGGCCTACACAGGGTCAGGATCATCAGTATCACTGTCCTTCACCTCCACATCTTGTCCCACTGGAAGGTCTTTAGGGGCAATAACATGTATGGAGCTGTCATCTCCTATAATAACAATGCCTTCTTCTGGAATGCCTCTTGAAGGACCTGCCTGAGGCTCTTCTTGAGGAGTAGGTTTATTTACACCAGCATCACCACAAACACGTGAGTAGTACTTTGAGCTGTTTTTATAACAACTATGATGATGTCACTAGGTGATAGGAATTTTTTAGCTCCATCAAACCTTATGGGACCACCATCATATATGTGGTCTGCAGTTGACCGAAACGTCATTGTTATGGTGGTGCATGACTGTATTTGTATGCATGTCTCACCCTCTTTTAAAATAGCACAAGGAGCTTTCCTTTTTTATCCCTCATAGTACCTAGCACAATACCTTGCATTTACCATCAATGATAACAAAAACAATAATAAACTTAGCTCAGTATTCATTGCAAAAAAGAATGAAAATCAATCTAAAGATATGATTTTAATTAACACACAGGTGTGGGAAATGCTACTGCTTGTGTCTTACATGAAATTATCTATGTCATTGGTGGCCACTGCGGCTACAGAGGAAGCTGCACCTATGACAAGGTCCAGAGCTACAATTCAGATATCAACGAATGGAGCCTTATCACCTCCAGTCCACATCCAGGTAACAAAATACTATCTCAGCGAGGATATGTTGTGATGCAGTTTATCAGTATAAGGGATGGCTAAAAAATGGGCTGGAAATAGAATGCTAATTTTATAGTAGTCTACACATGGGTATAATTAAAAGGCTCAAAATATTCATATATCCATCTAGCGATAATCATGATTAGATTTCAGTTAGATCTCATCTGCAAATATTTTCCCCTATGTCTTTACACAATGCACATTTTAAGACTATGTGGTTAAAGATGGTAGTTTCTTTTAAAGTTTTTTTTCACTTAGGTTCCTTTTTGTGTTTCCTTTTCCTTTGTTATGTGCTTTCTTTCATTTACTACATGCATTATATAAAACACACTTTTTATAAATAGTTAAAAAGCACTGATCTCCCTATCAAATGGGAAGAGTACCTGGTGATTGGAGTTCAGCTAGAGATTATTTCCTCTTTTAGAAGCTTGTTCTTTCTGGATTTCAATTACTATTAAGCACTCAGTCCTATGACGTGCAGAGCCCTATCTTGGCCTCTCCTTAACCATAAGGAGAACAATGTTGTCTGCCCATGGATCAGCCTGCCTTCTTTGATGTCTTTTGTTCTTTGACTTTTCTTTGTGAAGAGCTTAGGGTGGGAGTACAGATTTTAGCCTGTTACAGTTATGCCGTATGTTTTAAGTTTTTTTCATTAGGAAAGATTCATATCATCATATCACCGTATTACTTTGAATCATTTTCCATTGAGCATCAGGATTCCATGTGGGTCACTGAAGAGGGTAGTTGAAATTCACAAACCTGAACTGTCTGAGAGTAAAAGTAATAGGGAATCTTCTTGAGCACTTACCATAGGTCAGGCACTGGCTAAGCACATTGTATGTAAAATGACCTTAAATTCTCATTATAGCTCTATGACTAGGTATTGTTTATCACCATTTTACATATTTGGAAATGGAGACTTAGAAAGGATAAGTAACTTTCCCAAGGTCACACAGTTTGAAAGTAGTGAACCAGAATTCACGTTCTGGCAGTCTGAATTCTTCAACCTGTGCTGTAACCGCTAAGCAATCTGCCTCTTCTTAAGGGACGCTCTCCTGCTTTTGACCACTGCAGCTACTTCCAGCCCATACATCATCTGTCTCATCTTATGGTTCAGGTGGAGCACACCTGAATCTGGTGCTACATCTCCATATGCCACAGGCTTTGTGTAAGAAGAAACTTCAGCCACAGGCTGCCCTGGCTCCGAAGACATCATGGAGGGCATAGGCTTCTGCCTGCCTCCTGGTAGCCCACATGTGCCATCCCAGACTCTCTGTTGTGATCACTGAAGTTATAACATAAGTAATCATAACAGCTCATATTGAGTAATAGCTAGCATCTATTCAGTAAGTATGTACCAGGCACTAACTATTTCAATAATTTTACATGTATTAATTTATTTAAACCTCACAATAATTCTGTGAGCTAGGTACTGTTATTATCTCATTTTATAGGCCACTGAGGCAGAGAAATTAAATAAATTGCTGAAGGTCAGCCGGCTATTGCTTGTTAGAAGTGAGGTTCAATCCCAGACAGTCTGGCTTGGAGCTCAGGCTCTTACCAGCTTCACTATTAACTCATTTGAACCTCATGTTAACCTTATGAGTTAAATATTACTCTGCCCGTTTTGTGGACAGACTTGTGTTTACAAAGAAAATCCAATGCATGAAAAGTCAGATTAACAAATTAGAGGGCAGTTATTTATATTATAAATTTAATATATATTTCATAAAGGATTCCCTTAAAAATTAATGTCCCATGACATATTCAAATTGCATATAGCTTATTGACTACTTGAAAAGACTCTAAAAGGCAGTGTGACTTAATCCAAAGTATTAAAAGCCATGGAAAATAGAAAATCAGTCCAAAATCAATATTAAACTACAGTATAAATCAATGGGAACATATAATGCCACTTGTAAAGTTTTGATTAACATTGGACTTTTTCCTGACAAAATGTAAAAAACAGGTATCAAATTCGCATCTTGCATGATAATGCTCTGCTTAGCTTTCACAGTGCTTAAAATATTTTTTAACTGGCTTGTTAACACTATATAAAATTTAGGAGATTTCAAATAAAAATCATGATTTCTGGCCTATAGAAAAATTGGAATATCTGGCAGCCTTGGACATATTCCAGGCAACAATCACTGGAGCCAGGTTGTAGCTGTTCCTGTTAGATAAGGTTTGTATGCTCCATTTCACCACCATCCCTCCAATTCTCATCACATCACAGACTTAGGGGGCCTGTGCTGTTGTTTTTCTTACCCCTGGCCTGCTTCACTCAGCTAGTCTATTATCTCCTTAAGCTCTTGAAGGCATTTGCATCTGCATCCATTGAATTATATATAGCAAGGTATGCTTCTTTGGCACTTTACCAGCACCTCTTAAGGAATGTAAAATGTCAGTCTTGAGTTGACCTTATATAGATACATAGTTAGACTAAGAAGAAATGACTACTATTATTTTTTAAAGTTATTATAAATGTTATCTTTTATCTTAACTCCTTCAACAGGGTATCCTTGTATAATTGAAAAACATGGGGTTATTGTTTCATTAAATTCAAGGTGACATTATTGAGACCCTATATTGGGAAAGGTAGTATTCTGGTAATTATGTAAGATGCAAAGATGACTAAGTGCTAGTCTCTACTGCCACAGGAACTCAGAATCTAGTAGCAAATATACATAAATAATGGGAATACAGAAGAATCTTTGGTAAGTTCTGTAATACACAAAGAAATGCTGTTGAACTTGAGAACAGAGAGAGCTTAAGTCTAATTAAGGGAAATCTGGCACTCTTAGAATGTTTCCATGGGTAGGTAGTTATGATTATGGGTAGGCAGAAAAAATTAGCTGGACATGGTGGCCCGTGCCTATAGTCCCAGCTACTTGGGAGGCTGAGGCAGGAGGCTTGAGCCCAGGAGTTTGAGGTTGCAGTGAGTTCTGATGATGCCACTGCACTCTAGCAAGACTCTGTCTCCAAAAAAAAAACAAGAAGAGAACCCCTTTTAGAAAAGATTGGGAGAAAAACAAAAGGCAAGGAGATCTGCTAAGATTGCTGTATTAATAATCAGCCAGATGAGGAGTGCTGAAATCCTGAAGAAGTGGTAGGAAAAGAAAAAGAGGGGCAGATGTGAGGTTGGTTCCTTGGCTGATTCAACAGCTGGTTGCTTCCTTGGCTGATTGGATACAGGTGATGAGGGAGAAGAAGGAGTTGACAGTCATCCCAGGGTCTCCAGCTAGTTGCCTGGGAGGATGAAGGGTACTGAAAGAGGAGCCAATGGGGAAGGAGAAGAGGGGAGGAGATGAGCTCAGTTTTGAAGCTGAGGGTGAAGGACTAGTTGGAGAACCCAAAAGAGCTGTCCAGCAAGCAATGGGAAATGTGGGTCTGCTGCTCAGGAGGAGGGATGTAGCTAAATATAGAGATCTAGGAGTTGTTTGCTTGGATGGGAGAGAGAGCTCTCTCCTCGATCTGCCATTTATTTACTTGCCTATACAGTGGCTTAAGCTCTTGGGCCTTACTTTCCAGTAAAATAAGGAAGTTGGACCACATAAGCTTTATAAGTCCTTTCAATGAGAACAGTCTTAGGGAAAAAAATCAAAATCAGTTCCAATGGATGTCATGATTATTTCTGAATCCCTCTATCTCTTTGTTCATATCACTCATGTTAACACTGAATACAACTGCCATGTGTTTATTTTAATATTGTGTGTAAACTCTTGGCGCTGTGACAGATCGTGTCATTCCCATGCTTGATCACTCATTTGTTCACCATTCATATGTCTAACAATATTTGCTGAGCACTTCCTATGCATATTCTGTACACAGTGCTAGGAGCACAGTAAATAAGACACAGTCCCATGGCCTTAGTAGCTTAGAGGAATTGACTGACAAAAAACGCAGTTACAGCTGAGGAAGGGAAAGTTCCTATCAACAGCAACAGAACATTGGGTTGTATTTGGGTAACAGGAAAAAGAATCAGGAATCACTTTATTTTAAACATTTTTACTGCTATAGGAAGACTGAGATACCTTTCTTAAGAATCACAAATTGAGGATTTTTTGGTGAACTTTGAATAACTTAAGAATAGCCTAGCAGGCTCATTGTTGAATCACTTATACCAACTGATAACATTTTGAACCACCCTTAATTTTCACAATAACCATTGATGGAATAATTCATATAATTTATATAAACAGTGTTTCACAAGTACTTAAAACAACTAACTCCTGTAAAAATTCTACATATATATAACTGGAAATCAAATAAATGAGTTTTTAAGAGGTAGGAGAATTATTTCTTTGAATAATTGAAAATATTTAAATTGAATTGAAACTTGAGAACAATATGTGAAGTCAAAGCAAAGATGCCCTCTTCTGAAACTTTCCTTAGCCTTGAAAACCAGTAATGGGGCCAGGCGTGGTGGTGCCTGTAGTCCCAGCTACTCGGGACGCTGAGGTAGGAGGATCGCTTGAGCCCAGGGAGTTTGAGGTTGTGATGATCTAGGCTGATGCCATGGCATTCTAGTCCAGGCAACAGAGTGAGACTCTGTATCAAAACAAAAAGCAAAAAAACAAAACCACCCAATCTAGGTAGCAAGAATTTTACTGATAAGAAGTTGTCTTCTACTCTTAAAGAGGAAATCACATTTCTGATTGTACATTCTTTCTAAAGAAGGGCTTGGTTATAAAATTTTCTTCCTTTTTTTTTTTTTGAGACAGAGTCTGGCTCTGTTGCCCCCACTAGAGTGCCGTGGCATCAGCCTAGCTCACAGCAACCTCAAACTCCTGGGCCATTTCTTTCTATTTTTTAGTAGAGACAGGGTCTCGCTCTTGTTCAGGCTGGTCTCGAACTCCTGATCTCGAGCGATCCACCTGCCTCGGCCTCCCAGAGTGCTAGGATTACAGGCGTGAGCCACCACACCCGGCCTAAAATTTTCTTCCACATGATAGTGTGGGCACACATTGGGGCTCAAGAAGGGTACAAGGTATAAATCATTCATTGATCTGACAGACATTTATTAAACAAGGAACATCCCAGATAATGAGAAGTGCTATGGAGAGAATTAAAATAGGATGATGTGTAGGCATCCCTCACTGGCCACTTCAGGTTGGATGTCAAGGAAGGCCCTCTGAAGAGGTGACAGTAAGATAAGATCTGAGTGACAAGAAGAAAGCAGTCCTGCATAGACCTGGGAAAAGGAGAAACTTCAAGGCAGAAGGAACTGCTCAGCAACAGCCAGTTAAATCTTTATTTATTTGTTGTAAGTGCCACAGACAAATCCTCCTCTTCCTTCAGGACTGCAGCTAGAAGTATTTGAGTGTAATTTTATGACTGACATTCCCAGAGAATGAATTATTAGGCTAGAAGTGATGTTAAAGTGGGAATGTGGGCCGGGCGCGGTGGCTCACGCCTGTAATCCTAGCACTCTGGGAGGCCGAGGCGGGCGGATTGTTTGAGCTCAGGAGTTCGAAACCAGCCTGAGCAAGAGCGAGACCCCGTCTCTACTAAAATTAGAAAGAAATTAATTGGACAACTAAAAATATATAGAAAAAATTAGCCGGGCATGGTGGCACATGCCTGTAGTCCCAGCTACTTGGGAGGCTGAGGCAGGAGGATCGCTTGAGCCCAGGAGTTTGAGGTTGCTGTGAGCTAGGATGACACCATGGCACTCTAGCCCGGGCAACACAGTGAGACTCTGTCTCAAAAAAAAAAAAAAAAAGTGGGAATGTGGAAGAAATAGGACTGGGACTAGGATGAGGCCAGTGAGACGTTCGAGGCACAGAATTTAAGGAGTCGCTCAGAGAGTGATTTGGAGAGTTGTGCTTCCCTACATTTTGCATCTTAAGCACCGCACTTGCCTCACCATCATCACAGCCATGGGAAGAAGGGAGAGGAAGTAGAGTTGTGAAACATCCTTGTGCCTTGAAGAGCCAACAAATTTGGATGTGGAGGAGGAGATGAATAAAATGGGAAACACTAAAACAGTCTAGGAAGGGGGCCCCTAGATACAGACGTCCAGCCCTAGGACCCAGATCCCACACAGCAGCCCTCTGCCGGGGGCACCTTGCCCAGCTTCTGAGGGTAATAGACTCTCATACCCCACAAATCTGGGTGTGTGTTTCTCTAACTTCCTATGTCCATAGCTGGACCAGTAGTGTGAGAGAAGCAAGCGAGGCCATCCTGTGTGGCACCTGTGGCAGCAGACAAGACAGACTGTCTGCCACTGGTTACAGGGATAGCTGCCAGGATCTGAAGGAACCTACACCAACTTTCCTAGTATGTCTTCCTAGAAGAAGGACTCTACTGCTACCATCTTAACAGATAGGTGTCAAATAAAAGGTTTCTGTGTTGGGAAATTCCCAGAAGAGTGGTGGTCTGTGGGATGAGTTCCTCCCTGGCATCTTGCAAAGCCAGCTTAAGGATGAGCTGAGGGATAATGGGAGTGTGGCAGGAACAGGTGATTTGAATCAGGTGACGGGATGGATTTTAAGCCTCAGTATTGCAGTAGTGTGTGCCACAATTAAAATGTCACCACTACTCTATTTTTGTGTGTTAAGTTGTAAAGGATTATTACATTGCCACACTATGGTATCTTCTTTATTTGTTATCCTAAAAAATTGCTCTTTTTTTTTTTCTTTTTAAAAGAATATGGATTGTGCTCAGTTCCATTTGAAAATAAGCTCTATCTAGTCGGTGGACAAACTACAATCACAGAATGCTATGACCCTGAACAAAATGAATGGAGAGAGATAGCTCCCATGATGGAAAGGAGGATGGAGTGCGGTGCTGTCATCATGAATGGATGTATTTATGTCACTGGAGGATACTCCTATTCCAAGGGAACATATCTTCAGAGCATTGAGAAATACGATCCAGACCTTAATAAGTGGGAAATAGTGGGCAATCTCCCAAGTGCCATGCGGTCTCACGGATGTGTTTGTGTGTATAATGTCTGATTGAATCTGCAGAAATGACCAGGTAATCACTGTTTCGGAGTATAGTGAGAAAAAAATGGAATGTAGGGTTTGGAGTTCCTTACTTGTTATTGTGATCTGACACATGACGGGGGATCAGTAGATTTTAATTCCTAACCCCACTCTACTCCCAAACCCAGTGATTAATGGGCAAGAAAAATCTTATGTATATGTATAATTGAATAAGCGGGGTTAACCCCTATAATCTCTGCTTTTCAAAGGTGATATTGAATATTTGACACTTGGTAAAATGTGAAATACTTTTGTAATGAGTCTTTTCCTCCTAGTAGCATCAACACTGGGGATAGGTCAGAATCATTCTATGGAATGAAATGTCTCTTAAGAGCCATTAACTAGCAGGAATTTGAAATTTAAAGAGGGAATCTTCTCTACCTCTACAAAATCAACACTTAAAATTTTCTTTTCACCTTTAGAATTATTTAGAATGTAGACTTACTTTAAGTCTAGTTTTTTTTCCTTTGTGGTGTAGATAATTTATTGTTGTTATTCTTTATTTACTGACTACTAGATATATATAAAATAATGTGCAAAGGATTATTACTGTTCAAAAAGTTTACAAACTAAATTTAAAAGAATGGCAAGTATGAAAATTGCAGAGAAGACAGTCAAATATTTGCTTATGCTAAGGGCTGTTTTTAATTTTCAGCTTTGATGTAAATTGCTGGCTTAGGTATCTTTAGTTTAAGCATGTTAGGAAATGCTCTTTATTCTTACGTGTAAATACATGTCTGCTTATAAAGTTGAATTTCAGAAAGCATGTAGAACAGTTGTGGTATAGTAGAAAATACCTTTACAAGAAGATAATTTGCATTCATTTCCCAGCTCTACCACTAACTAGATTTTGTTACTTGAGTTGAGTCATTTAACCTGTCTTTGATTAGAGCTTCCTGACCTATGCACATTGGCACTGCAGGTCATAGATGTGCCTAGATATGGATCTGCTCACCCCTTGATGCAGCTAAAGGTAATTGGGGTCACCTTTGTCCATTTTCTCCAGTGTGCCTACAGGATCACTTTCCATGTGTGCCATAACTTGAGAAAAGTTGGGAAGCACTGCCTAACTTAACTCCTCTAAACCTTTAGTTATCTGTGAGACCATCTATTCTACACTCTTCATTTTTTTTTTAAAGAGACTGATTATTTTTAACTTTAAATACAAATGTTTAAAACTACCTAACACTTCTGGTTTTTAAAAAAACTTTTAGGAGATTTTTTTTTTTTTTTTGAGAGAGTCTTGCTCTGTCACCCCAGCTAGAGTACAGCGGCATCATCATAGCTCACTGCAACCTCAGACTGCTGGGCTCAGGTGATCCTCCTGCCTCAGCCTCCTGAGTAGCTGGGACTACAGGCATATACCATCATGCCCAGCTAATTTTTCTATTTTTTGTAGAGACAGGGTCTTGCTCTTTCTTGCTCAGGCTGGTCTGAACTCCTGAGCTCAAGTGATCTTCCTGCCTTGGCCTCCCAGAGTGCCAGGATTACAGGCGTGAGCCACTGTGCCTGGCAGGAGATTATTTAATGCATTCATTTCAGATGTTATTTTAAATAGATACAACCCTTTGGGAATGCAATATAGTACAACATAGCAAGGGACATAAAAATGATCATATCTTTTTTTTTTTTCTTTGAGACAGAGTCTCACTTTCTTGCCTGGGGCGAGTGCCGTGGCGTCAGCCTAGCTCACAGCAACCTCAAACTCCTGGGCTCAAGCAATCCTACTGTCTCAGCCTCCCGAGTAGCTGGGACCACAGGCACGCGCCACCATGCCCGGCTAATTTTTTCTACATATATTTTTAGCCGTCCAGTTAATTTCTTTCCATTTTTTGGTAGAGACGGGGTCTCGCTCTTGCTCAGGCCGGTCTCGAACTCCTGAGCTCAGAACGATCCGCCCGCCTCAGCCTCCCAGAGTGCTAGGATTATAGGCGTGAGCCACCGCGCCTGGCCTAAAAATGATCATATCTTTTGCCCAATAAATTCTATTCCTGTATTTTTAACCTTTTTTTAAAAAATTCAAAAAAGGTAAATGCATGAAGATATTTATGTCTGCATTATATAAATAGCAAAAAATTGTTTAAAAAAATCCATGTCAGAGATGAAAGTGGGCTAATAAAAGTAGTGAAGTGTTATACTGCCATTAAAATAATTATTTGGAAAACTGTGTAGAAACATGGACATGTCTATGATGTGGTAAGTAAAACGAGCACAATACAAAATGGTATATGCACGCTGATTGTGGCTTTATAAAATCTTTATGCATGTGGAAGGTAATATGCAAAACAAATTCATTGTGTTAGTGTAGGGAGCTATGGAATGATTTTTTATTTATTTAAATGTTTTTCTTTAGTATTACTTTGAATTTTCAATAAAAATAAATAAATCACTGTGTACATGGTAAAACTGCTTGAATTTGGGCCAGTTGGGTTAAAGGACAGTCTGAATTAGTGAAACAACTAAACTATAGACTATTTCAATCACTAATTGAATTATGGACTTATTGCTCCCAAGAACATACAGCAATTAATGCTGGACTAATATGTTGCCCAATAGTGCTTTAGAGATCAGTTTTATGGAACAGATGAGAACAATTGAAATCACCTTCCCCTCCTCTCCAGCTTATATAGGTCCTATAAAATCCTTACTCAAGTCTATCCTCTGGGAATTCGTCCCTGTTTTGGCCACAGTAAAACTCCCATTTTCACATTTAAGATTGTATGATTTATGTACACATAGTGTGTCTCTTGGCTAAATTTGAGATATGGATTACATCTTAGTATTCTCAAGGTCTAGCATTTCATATGTATATCCAGTGAAAGGGCCGATGGTATGGATTATTTTTGCAGAAAGCATTCTGGAGGTGCTCAAAGGATCTTGAAAATCGTTTGTGATCTGAGGCATTGAATTTGCAGTTCTTATTTTATATAAAATTCTTTTTTGCTATTGATTTGTGCACAGAAGAAAAGATTAAGGAAGGTACACAAATTTCTTTCACTTATTTCAAGTTCTAAATCACTGTAATATGAATGAAAAATATTTTACTAGAATAAAATATAAACCATTGCTTTGAGAAGGCGAACACTATACTACAGAATAGTGAAAATTGTGGAGATGATTTTAAGCATGATTTAAGATGACTTTATCCAAATTTTAAAAGTTGCTGTTTCTCACAGGTTTTATTTTTAGTTTTTTAGCTGAAACTGAAAGGATTCACATCTAAGGTATTTGCTTAAAGACACATTAGCCTTTGTTTTCACATTCATGTAAACGTATACCTGTTGTGTTGTAGACTGAGTGTTTATGTCTTCCCAAAATTCATGTTGAAGCCCTAACCTTCAACATGACTATATTTGGAGATAGGGCCTTTATAGAAACAATGAAGGTTAAATGAGGTCCTGAGGATGGGACCCTGATCCAACACAGTAAGTGTCCTTCTAAGAAGAGAAACCTTGCTGTCTTCAGGTCAGAAGCGAGCCCTCACCAGAACCCAATCACATTGGCACCCTGATCTCAGACTTCCAGCCTCCAGAACTGTGAGAAAGAAAATGACTATTTGCCATCCAGTCCATAGTATTTTGTTATGGCAGCCCGAGCTGACTAATGCAGCCTACAAAGGAGATAACCCTTTATATGAGCAGTTTAGATGCTGGATCAGCTAGTAGTAAACAATCTGTCCGCAGACAATCCCTTCTTCCTCCCATCACATGTGCAAAGCAACCAAAAACACCTGTATTATTAGTCTGAAAATGTCTGAAACTATAAATACAGCTTCTTAGGTCAGAGTAGACACGGCTTGGGGTTTCTGTCTGCCTCAGAGCAGTTCTCCCCAAGGCTGTGTCTGTGCTGGTGCCCTAACCCCCTCCCTATGGGACACTCATACACTTGGACTATGCTATGGTTTGGATGTTTGTCCCCTCCAAACTTTATGTTGAAATGTAATCTGCCTAGTTGGAGGTGGAACTTAACGGAAGATGTTTGGGTCATGGGGGTGGATCCAGGGCTATGATTGACCAAGGTCCCTGCTGTGAGGACTAAGCTGGTTTGAGTGAAGAAAACTAATAAAGATGCCACAGTGACTAGGGATGGGAGATGATGTTGACATCTTGGTTTAGGCCTCCCTGATGCAGTTCCATCCCTGTCTTTTCTACACTTTGGTTATATGAACCAATAGATCTTTTTGTTTAGAGTTGGGTTTTTGTCTTTTGCAACCAAAGAAGGGCTGACTAATGTCTTGCAAGTACTTTATCCTTGTTAAAATGTAAATATTTTTCAGAAAGTATATTATTATTTCTTATTTCTACCTGCAATTTTAATTCTCCTTTGCCATGTAACCTAATATATTCACAGGTTCCAGTGATAAGGACATGGACATCTTTAGGAGGCCGTTATTCTGCCTACCACAGGTAGTAATATATTGTCTTAACCTGACTTTTACAATTCCATTTGATCTGAGAGGAGATTCTGACAGAAACAAAAAACAATGATGGGTCCCAGCGACTCCTGAGAACTGGAAGATAGAAAATAGGTTAAAAAAAAAAAGTTGGATGACAGGGTCATTGACTATTAGACCATTCCGCCAAGGGACAGCCTGTCCGGCCTGAAAACAAATTATAATGCAAGAAGAGTCATTAATTGTATCAAAGATGTGGATTACCAACCCTATAGTCCTTCTTTGCCGGCAGAGAAGAGCCCTAGGTCTTTCTGTGTATTAGGAATCCACGTACCTTAGATCTTAATTAGTCTAAGCCAATCATGGTTATTCCATCCTCCTTGCCAGTATTTGGTTTAGGAATGTATATGAAAACAGTTCTGGCCGGGCGCGGTGGCTCACGCCTGTAATCCTAGCACTCTGGGAGTCTGAGGTGGGCGGATTGTTGGAGCTCAGGAGTTTGAAACCAGCCTGAGCAAGAGCGAGACCCCGTCTCTACTAAAAATAGAAAGAAATTAATTGGA